ATGAATGAATGAATGAATGAATGAATGAATGAATGAATGAATGAATGAATAAATAGTCGTAATCATCAGTAGCATTTGCACAGATGTAAGGACGGCGGTGATTTCACTAACTGTGCTGCAGCTTTTGCAGCCAATGAGCGGGGAAAGAGGTTTTTTTTGCGTTATGCCCATGTAGGGATGATGGGGCAATGGATGCTCATGCCATGGTGGGAGGGACCTTCTACATCTAAACACTAGTTCATGTGCTCCAAAGAACACAAAGCACAGGTCTGCTTACAGAATTTGGGAACTGTGAAAAGACAGATGGATGATTTAGTATAGGAAGGTCTCCTTGTCCTCCCTGACCCCAGTTAGTGCTGCTTACCTTGCCTTGAAGTTCATCAGAGTTCATCTGGATTTCTGAGTGCTGAGGAACACGTCTTTAAATAGAAATTTAATTTCAGGAAAGCTTTTCCTATCACTTCTCTTTTCCTTTCCTCAAATCTCAGTTTATGCATGGAATATAATTTTATCCCTGTCTGTCACCATTCAGGGCAGCTGTGCCATGCCTTCTGGTGCAGAAATAAGCCAAAGCCAATAGCTATCACTGACTGAAGCTCAGTTCTACCAACATAAGGAGTCCTAGAAAAAAAGATTTGATTAAGCAGTTGTCTATACTGCTAGGAAGTTCAGTATCTGAAAATGTATGCATCACAGCAGAAAACATCATCTAAGACCTGTAAACTCCGAAAAAGAGTCTGTTATAGTGTCACCACCTAACACTTTCCAGGCAGTGGAGCAGTAATTTTTGTCCCATAGTTGCTCATTTTCTGCTTCAGTGAAAGCCTCAAAATCAGGAGAGTTTCTAAAATTTTATCTAGATTTCCCCTTCAATCTTACCGTGACAGCAATTTCTCCAGAGGCAGCATTGTAACAACATTGATCGAGAGCCTATAAGTATTTCTTTCACAAAGAGACTCTAATTATGTTGCATAAAATGTGAACAAAACATGATAGCGTTCTTCATCTGGACAGTTTTGATATGAAGTAGGAAAGGTTGTCCAACTTTTGTTTGTCCCAGTAGCAGAGACAGACCTATCTATAATAAGGATTTCAGGTCTTTGTATGTATTGCTACGTTTTTTAAACCTAAAATCTAGGTTTTCAAATCTTTAGTGGAAAGACCAGCTAGCCCGGTGTAATACCATGGTGAGGTATTCATCTGCTCCATTGGCTTCCATTCTACCCAGAGTGGTACTTCTGCTCCTGGGGAGATACTTCTGGAAGCAGGACTTTGCAGGAATCATCAAAATCTTCTCATGCATAATGCTTTTTCATTCTCACTCTGTCAGAACTTTTTTTCCTTTTTTTACTGCAGAATATTCTTTCATAAAAACTGAATTGTTTCTAAGTGGGTAGAGTATAAAAAAGAGATACAGTGAACATAACGTGTGTGGATTTTCAAAAAGCTTTTGGCAAGGTTGTGTTGATAAGTCATGAAGCTGTGCAGGATCACAGGAATTCTTTCATGGGCTAAAAGCTGATTACAGCAGAGTGTGGACTTAGTGGTCTGCATAGAGAAGAGCCAGCAGTGTGGTCCTGTAGAAATAAGTGTTGGGACTTGTATGTTTAGTATGTGACCAAAGCTGGAGAAAGAAGTGAACAGAAAGAAAAATATTAAAACATAAAAATGATTCTATTATTTAAAAAGTATTTTGATAGATCTGGATCAGTTTTCTTCTCTGTAAAACACAGTTCATGCCAATTCTGATAGTTTGAATTTATATTTCAAATCAGAATTGAACCAATATTGGCATTTTTGGTGGAATAGAGACAGTCAACTCTAGTGCTTATTTTCTTTTCTAGTGCTTGTCAACCTCTTCTATTTCAGAAGACTTTACCCTTACCATATTACCAAATCTGCTAACTTTGCACCAAAGAACATCTTCAACAACTTAAGTTAGAAGCAACTGTGGAAAGGAGGTATACCACCTGCCTGGTTGCTCCTTCCCATTACCACAGCCTCTACCCCCCTCGTGGCCCATCCCTATCCCTGCCCTGGTGTGACAGCATTATGACACATCTTGCTCAGTCAGGGGAAGGTGTAAGGAGAAGGTAAGCAAGAGCAGCAAGATCTAACAGTGTCTTCATTAAAACATCTCTCCATATGAGACACAGACCATCTGACCTCTAAACTGGCAGAATGTGGATGGAAAGGACGTTGTATTGGCTCAGGTTTGAGACTGATACCTGACACTCTGTACCAGAAACCCAGCTCTAGGAGAAAGTGTCGGGTAGGTGGCTTCTGTACTTCATTTTTTTTTTCTTTTCTGTTTTCCTTTTTGTAGCTTGTATCGAAGTTTGGGATTCTCCACTATTTCCCTATTTCTGTTTCACTGTAGGAGATGCTTCCCAGAAGGAATCTTGCTGTACTGCCTCTCCTACTCCTTTTCTCTCTTTTATTCCTCCTAAATTTTCTTTTGTCAGACTTATAACTCCAGGATAATCATGCCATCTTTTTACAGCTCTGTGTGAGAATCTGCCCATCTGATCACATGGGTGCACATAGCCAACGTATGACCTTCTCTCTGTATGTATTCATGGGATTCAGTGACAGCTTTCCTACTAGCAGTAAACTTCTCTAGAGCAGAATATGAACACACTTTATGAGGGCTGGAACTGGAACTTAGTCTGGAATGTTACCATTGATTTTACAATGCAAGCGGCCTCTTGGAGTCACCCCAAGAGAAACTTGGCTTCTTTTCTGCGCAGCTTCCCAAGTGCTAGAGACAACTGTGGGTGTCTAGGGAGCTGAATCCCTTGCAGGCTGCATGCAGTTGTCCCTATCATTCTCTGAGTATAGTGGTGCAACAAAATGCAACCTTGTCTTTCCAGAAGGCCAGACAGCTGCTGGCTTGTTTGGGATGCATTCTGTGATTCTCTGCGTGGGGTAACTCACCCAGGGAGGTTATCTGAGGTGTGGGCAGGCCTTCTGTCACTGCATTGTGTGATTCTGAAAATGCTTCCCCAGCACAAGGGAACACATGCTTTATATTTCTCTTCAAATACCTGTCTTACTGCTTGCTGCTGTGTGGGCTACAACTAACTGCAGCTGTAAAAAGACTGATAGCTAGATGAGTCTGGCTCTGATGGATCTGTCAGCCCAGCTCTCCATCAGCTGCAAGAGCCACTCTCTACTGTTCTGGTGGTCAGCCTCAGCAGAGCTGCCAGGGGACAAGAGAAGTTGAATCAGCTTCCCATTCTCAAAGACAGGAAAGGCTGAAACCAATAAGCCAGAAAGCCTGCATTTCTGGGGACTGCGTTCTTGAGCGTGGAGTAGCTGAATCTTCCACTATGATAGAATAATATAGTTTTGGTCTTAAAGTGCAGCAATTCCCTTCTCTGCATGAAACCAATGACTTAGTATGCAACAGCAGGCTGACGTACTAACTCCTGTGGTTAAATCATGTTCATACTAGTGGAGGAGAACTATGTGTGTATGTGTGCTGTTGACTGGTGGTAGAGTGCATGTCCTGTTAGGATTTCATCTGCAATATTTTGGGTAGCTTATTTTGGCAAGGCAGCAGAGGAGCTTGCACAGATGTCAGCAGGTTCTGCATGGATGTCAGCAGGTTATTACCCAGAGGGAGGTGGCACAGAGAGTGCAAGGTGTACATTTGCCCATGGACCCTCAGCAATGACCTGCTTTTACAGGACAAATTGGAGTTGGCACTGGAAGCCTCACTGGGACCTCTTTCCCTACGGAGTTAGAAACCCTAGGCAGGGAAGGAGCTTGCCAGCACTGCTGTAATCCTATAAACAGCTCTATCTTAAGTTGCTGTGAGCTGAGCTCAAGCCTAAAGGATAAAAATCTCTAAGAGCAATTACCACTCACTCCTAATGAGCCTCTTCTGATTCAGCTCCACCTTGCAGCAGGTCTGTGGGATGTAGGTTCACTTCATCACTTGGGCTATCCTCTGTCAGCACGGCTAGATATTGCAAGCCTGGAAAATATTATGTTCTGATCACGTTTTTGGAGGTTGAGGCTGAGCAGTCACACTGGAGTCATCAAACACCAAAGCGAAACAAAGCAAAAGCAGCTCATGGTACTTTTGACCAACTGTCTAATAAAAGACACATCAAAAGTTTATACTGCAAGTTTATTACAGTAATACAATCAAATTAAATAATTTTCACAGTTATTGTAGTGGGGTATACGTATATATATATATATATTATTCCCAGCACGCATTGCAGTCTGTTTCTCTTTAGTCATGCAGTGAGTAATGAATATACAATTACATGAAAGATTGTTTTCCCTAAAAAAGAGAAACCAAAATTACAAAAGTATGGCTTTGTAAGAAAGTTGTATCATATAATGAACATTCATTTGTACTTGGGCATGGAACATTCAGTCGTAATCAGTAAACAACAGCGTCAGTCCCTGTCACGCTGAAGCCAAAAAAAGCCAAGGGAACAAGGAATAGGAAAGTGCCCATCAGTGTTAGAGAATGTCTGTATCTGTATACATTCAAAGTATGAAAAATGTAAAAAAATGTTTTGGGGGATTACGTACTACTTTTGTTTGTAAGCTGAAGTCAGAGTTAATGGCGTCCTGAAGAATGGGTGCACAGATTCTGTTTTCTTTTATACCGGCAAACATCAGCAGTGGTGCAATTGACTTAAAAAGTGTTACTTCGGGTGTAAAGAGATGCAACTGAGGTCAGATTCTGGCCTGTCCTCCCTGCTAATGGTGCTGCAGAAACAGACAGAAGCATAGGATTAAGAAGTCGTAGGTGGCCGAATTCTGCTGTCAGCCGAAAGAAAAGATGGAGATACACATTTAAGATATTTTATTTTAAAAAGCAATTCAATAAAATGTGTCCACCGTCACAAATCCTTCGTTGGATGACTGTTGGCATGCAGAAGCCCTCGTGCTTGGTGCTTAGGGATAAAACACCTGTTTCAAAAGCACAGCTGCTGCCTCTTTGCCAGAGAAGAAATATCCTTACCTGTTAGCAGCACGATGCTTAGGACGCAAACTTGTTTCACTAGAAGGCTGCTTTCTTAAGGCATTGGTCACCGTTGTGTACATGGAAAGTATTGTGTGTCAGTTGTGAGTTCTACCAGAAGAGGGCAGACACAGACACACATGTGCGCATGTACACACACACACACCCATAGACCCACGGAGCTCACTGAAATGACACCCATTGATGTGGCAGGAAAACACATATACACATCAGATCCTTACGGTGCTACTCTTCAAGACTGAAATTTAAAAATGTAACCTGCAGAGCCAGCCTGTAACCCAAAGATGAACAGACTGTGCCCTTTTCCTTTTCTCTTTTTGCCAAGTCCTGAAATAAAGATCTTAGCTACTCTTACTCAGTATGTTTATACACAAAATGTAAACATCACTACGTAGCACCAAGCACCTTTTTTGATTAATAAAGTCACTGACATATTTGTTGTGCAAATACAGGGATTTTTAAAGACTACTGACCATCAGTTGCAGGAACAGTGGAAAAAATACAGGATTTACCTGGCTAAACCCTGGCTCGGAAAGAATAAAATCAATGCAGACAGGACTGAGGTAGATTTGGCTGTATCTGATGTAATGACACCGTATAGGTAGGAAGATGAATGGGATATCCAACTAAGAAGCAGGTCACTGCAAAATAAATCCTCCTGCAGAAGGACATCCCACTCTGCACTCTTGGCATTACAGGTGATGGAAGCACCAGAACACTAATGGCCCTAAACTCTTGCCCAGTAGAACTGTACATCAAGGTCAGAAGGTAGGTGACTGACTGGGGCCCAGTGAGTGCTTGAGCTCTTGTTAAAATGGTCAGGAAAACAGATGTGACAGGGCTTTGGTGTGACCTTTCCTGTGTGAGCAGCTGCCTGTTGGTAGTCTGAGAACATCTGAGCTCTTATGTGCTGGCCAACAACAGCCAGCAGTCTTCTTCTAGGCTGTGATAACAGACACAGATATCCTCTGGCTTGGCTAATGGATAGAGGGTAAAAACTCATGCACGCATACAAAGCATTCTGTGTGCTACAAAGCCACCAGAGAGCCCAAATGCCTGAACTATGACCTTTGTGATGATCCCTGGCTATTACAGTCAACAAATAATCCTTGAACCATTTCAGATGCTCTTGTTCCTATTTGATTGCTCTTGCTCTCTGGACACAGACCTCTGCCTTATTAGAAAGTGCCAGTGTCGGTAATGCCAAGAATCCCCACCTGCATCATTTGACTTCTAAGACGAACAATCTTCCTCTCCTTCCTGTCTTTTCTGAAATTCTTAGCAACACAGCTCTCACGGAATCAAGCTAGTGATTGATGATTTACCTTCTCTCCTTTGCTGGCAACTCTGCTCCTGGGGCCTAATTACTATTTTAATATTATCAATCTCCAGCCTACACGGCCTCTCGCCCACTGAGATGAGGTATTGCATTGCTAGCAATGCACTGAGCACTTCATAGTTGCTCTCAGCAGCCTCAGGCAGCCAGTGCCTGCTTTGTCTTCTGCCCCCAGCACTGCCTTTCTGGGGGCTGCCAGGGCAGAAGTGGCTCAGCCACTGTTTATTATGCAAATCTGCCCTTGGTTCCGCTTTTTGTGAAGCTGTGACAGCCTCTCCTTGCTAGTGGTGCTGCGGCCTCTCAGCAAAAACCTTGTCCAAGATTTACCCTGAATTTCTCCGACACCATTTGTGCCCTCCCCCTTGCACAAGGCAGAATAGAATTAGACGAGGAGAGCAGGCAGGGCTGGGAGGACACCATGGGGGGTGGGACTGCAAGGGAAGAAGTTAACCCTTTTCTGTCACTACTCTTAGGGCTGGGCTGGCATTTTCTTTGTCTCACCAGCAAGTCTGCATCGTCACCTAGCACAGCACATCAGGCACTGGCACAGAACTGCTTCCCAGTACCCGGGGAGGGATGTCTGGGAGGAATGTCCCCATGTCTCCAAAATTATCCCCCAAATAGCTCTTGTCCAGCCTTGCAAGAAATCTCCCCCTTGCCCTGCAGCATCATCAGTAGCCTGACACATGCTGGTGGTGCTCTGAACAGAGGGAAACCATGTGAGCTGATACAGAAGGGTGTAGCTCTGGTACAGCAGTCCTGGCACAAGCAGATAATGTGTGGAGGGATCTTCTCCGTGCAGCAAGATTTGAATGCACAGGTCTGTTGCACATCCTTTCATAGCCAGAGCCTTTCAAAATGGAGCTTGTGTCACATGGCATTTTGCACCAAATTTATCTAAAGAGATCAGCAATTTATACACTACTGTTCAGAACAGATCTGGGAAAATGTGTGACACTGCTTCATTAGAGCAGAGGGTTGCATTTACAAAGAGAGAGGACATTTGGTCCAAAATAAGAGATATTCCCCATGAAGGAGTTGGGATTCTGCCACTGCTCTGCTGATGCTGAGCATGGCCAGGAGAGCAAGACCAGCACCTGAGACAGGACTCTGCCTGGGCAGGGCATCCTCAGCCCTGCAGAGAGACTGCTCTTGGAAAGCTGCAAACACACCCTGCCTTCAGTTCCTAGGGAATTCAATAGAAACTTGTTTCCCAGGAGCAGGCCTTCTGTCTGGATTTGAGTGGCAAAACCACTCTGACAAGTGACAACTTCTAATGCATGATTGTCACATCCTAGCTTAGGGTAACTAGCAAACACAGGTCGTTCTGAGACCCACTGGTAAATAGAGGTAATGAGCTACATCTCTTTTGGAGACACAAATTCATCCCTAAAGCACAAGTCAATGATAATGTCACTCATGAAGGATGAGGCTGCCAGTGGCCCTGCTCTTACTTGCAGTTTTTCACTGGAGAGCAAGAAAAATTTTACCCTCCCCATTACACACCTTTGAGGAGGCATTTGGGCTGGAGTTGCCTTCAACCCCTTCACTCCTGAGTGAGATAGGATGCTTTTCATTATTTCTTCTGTCCGTCCCAGTTTCCACATAGGAATAAACACTTGGTGGTCTTATCTAAATACACATAACTCCACACTATGACCCAATGCTAAGTATCTCATTAAAATGTACTCTGTAAAACTGCCTCTACGTCTCTGTAGGATCAGCCACAGACTTTTTGGTTATTACTTGATGATGCTGGATCACTGTTAGAAAGGAAACCTGATGTTTCAAATCCTGTTCATACAAGTGGTATTTTTCCTAGCTCTGGTAGAACACAGTTCCATAGTTACACCCTTTGAAAATCCTACTGTGCAAGTTGTTTCTTTTTACTCAGGTGCATTACACGGGATACAGTTATGTTGGGAATTCAGATTCACTGATACCAGCTGACAGCTAAAAAACCCCAAACATAAGGCAACCTCAGCTACAGTTAACTCTTCACATGCACAACGAAATAGAAAACAAGGAAGGCTTTTGCCTTTAAAAGTGCCGTGCCTGCAATCGATTAGAAAAAAACACAGAACTCTACATTTAAAATCTTGTCACAAAATACTGGATTTCCCAGCATAGCCTAGCAGGACAAGTATTAAAATCACAATAAAATACACAGATTGGTGGGTGCCCATGTCCCCTAAGTTGCCTTTAAAAATCCAAGACCCAGCGAATAAAGTCAAGGAAAAACATTTACCACATTTTTTGTCGATTGCTTTTTGCCATAGGATGGTAAGGGCTTTAGTGCCTGAGGTATAGGTAGTTCCTGGATGCTTTTAGGGAAGTGGGACGGAGGCAGAGTCTGGAGAATAGTTTGCATAGCTTGCAGATATAAAGAAGCAGGTGCGTTGCCCACCAGGCTGTTGAATTTCTCTTCCCCCAGCAAAGCTGTCCAATGCTCCGGATGATCCTGTAGAACTTTCCGCATCTTAAACTGTGGGTTGGGCATGAAGAGCAAGAGGTAGTCAAGGCAGAGCTTCTTTGTTGCCATGTTGACTTTGGAGTCCCACATCTGCTCCAGGATGACGTCCAGCGGGGTAAGCCCTTTACTGTCCTCTATCCTGGGAGAAGCTCCATTGCCGAGGAGGATGAGGACTGTCTCCGACCTCAGCAGTTCACAGGCAAGGTGCAGGGGTGTCTTCCCATCTTCTAGATGAAAGCAGCCAGTCCTGTTGATGTACGAGTTTAAGCTGGGGAGCTTGTGCGCGATTTTGATGATCAGCCCCAAGATATCTCTCCTGTCATATGTGACCGCCATGGCCAAGTGAGGAGCAGAGGATGGGCAATAGCAGAAGTGTTCTCCGGGTACCTTGAGAGCCTCCTCTGGAAAATGAGACAGCAGATACTGAGCATAAGGCAGGTGGTTATGCACCACTGCGTAGAGAAGGGCTTCTGAAGGTGAGTATGTTCTTAAGCTGGCATTCTCCTCCCAGTAAAAATACTCCATAGTTCTCATGTCTTCCAGCATCCACACAGGCTTGTGATCTCTCACAGCCTGGTAGAACATATAGGATAAGAACTTGCAGTGCCTGCTCTGATCATCCTGCATGCTGGCCTGGTTGCTGGCCATGGCTCAGCAAATAAAGAGCAGCTCCACGTAAAATCTCTCCAGACTGTACGATCTGTGCACTTGGAATGCAGATCCCGATGCTGCTGCAACCTTCAGGCTGTCATTGCTGCCTGGACTGCACTAGCTTGAATGCATGGGCTGATCATCTCCACCCATTCATTGTTTTTTCCCCTCACTGCAGTGGTTTTGTTTAGGTAAGCACAATCCCACAGGCTCGGTTAACCCATGCCATGCAAGCAGCTGGTTAGTAAGTACATCCTGCTCTCTGCATAGTGTGGGTTACTGGAACGCTGTCAGAATGCAAGTGATTTTATACACACGCAGCTACAGAGAAGGCAGGGAGAGACTAAAATTAGCTTGAGAGGTGAGGTAGTTTTCTGTCTGCATTTCATGTCTAACCAGATCAGCTTCTACATCGCAGTAAGTGTGATAGTAATTTTCATCTATTTTTTGCATGTTGCTCTCACACACAGCTTGTTAAACAGTAAAAATATATGTTGCAGCATAAAATGCTCCATGGCTGGTAATATAGAGGATGATATACTCATGAAATCAAGGGAATGGTAGCTGTACTATTAAGAGGGGCTCCCTATTTTATAAATAATGGTATGGCTGGCCAATTAGGAGACGCTGATGTTAATGGATTGTCTGTAAGGCATTAGTGATATTTAAGATCCCAACATTAATCTCTGCAGAGAAAAGAGTCAATCAAGATGTGGAGCAACCATGCCTGGAGTCATAAAGCATATTGCTCAATTTAAATGCCTGCCTTTGTTTAGCAAGGAAATATCTGAAGTGCCTCTGTTTTGCACAGCAGGTACATAAACAAATTTAATGGCCAAACCACAATTGCAGATGGAGAGCTTTGATGTAAGCATTTCTTACAGTGGGGTCAGAGTGAGCTATAATAGGGGGAAATGGACTTAAGCAATCTGACCTGTGAAATGCCCAGTAAGATGACCAAGGAGCACAGCCTTGAGGGCTGCTACCTATGGGATGAGGCAAAATGACCTGACCAAAATTATATTCATAGAAAAGAAATGAACACCTCCTAAACAGGAGGAATTCCACGCATTTTATAAATCAACAAATTGCAGTAAGTTGGTATCTCACCATCATGGTACGAAAACAGGAAAAATACAACAAATGGAGTTTTTTTTCTTTTCTTTTTTTCATTTAGCAAGGAGACAACAGTATATTCAGTATATTCAAACCAAACAGTATTCAAGCATAAAGTCTGAACACCTCCAAATGATGCCTGGGGTCATTCAAGGGGAAAACCATCACCAGTCTGGGTCTACATCTAACACATCCTGCCATCTTCCAAAGTCCTGGATGTTCAATTCCATGCCCTAAACATTTCGTTTTACGGTGAGTTTTCATGTAGTTAGAATAAATGAATGTATGTACAGTTTTAGTCCATTGTTACTGCAGTTATTCTTGGAAATACTGCTATATAGTTATTTGAGTTATTTGAGCATACTATTACCCATCTTGTATCCATGGTTGCAATAAACCTTGTGTATAATCAAGGGCAGATTCAAAGAGTAACAAAGAGCACAAGGAAGTCCCAGTTAACTGGACAGGCTTGAAAAGGGGTTCAAGAGAATGCAGTGAGGTTCAATAATGCCAAGTGCAAAGTGTTGCACTTGAGCTGGGGCAATCCTATATATAAGCCTCGATTGAGAGCAGCCCTGCCGAGAACTTGGGAGTCCTGATGGATGAAAAGCTGGACATGAGCCAGCAGTGTGCTTTTGCAGCCCAGAAGGCCAATGTGGCAGCAGGGAGAGGGAGATGATTGTCCCTGTCTACTCTGCCCTTGTGAGGCCCCATCTGGAGTGCTGTGTCCAGGCCTGGGGCCCCCAGTAGAAGAAGAATGTGGAGCTGTTGGAGCAAGTCCAGAAGAAGGCCACAAAGATGATGAGAGTGCTGGAGCACCCGTCCTGTGATGAAATGTTGAGGGAGTTAGGATTGAAAGCTTGGAGAAGTGAAGGCTCTGGGGACAGCTCGTGGCAATTTTCCAGCACTTGAAAGGAGCAGAAGGGGAACCAACTTTTTATGCAGGTAGATAGTGATAGGACAAGGGGGAATGGATTTAAACTGAAAGAAAAGAGGTTTAGGTTAGATGATAGGAAGAAATTCTTTGTTCACAGGATGGTGAGGCAGTGGCACAGGCTGTCCAGAGAAGCTGTGGATGCCCCATCCCTGGAGGTGCTCAAGGCCAAGTTGGGTGGGTTCCTGAGCAGAATGCTCTAGTGGCCATTGGCATGGTCTAATCGCCATTGGCAATCCCGCCCATGGCAGCATACTTGGAATTAGATGATCTTTGATGTCTCTTCGAACCCAAGGCATTCTGTGATTCCATCATTCTATGATTCTGTGATTCTATGTCTATATGAAAGTTGTTTTGCTAGTGCTCCAGCACTTCCAGCACGTCTGTGGCAGGGTAATGACCAAGCACAACGACTTTTGTGGTGCCGCTGCTGTGTGGTGATTGCCAGAGCAATCACCCTGTAGTAAAATGCAGATTAATTTTTGCATTTTCACCTCCTGAGGATTGTGATTCCTTTGTGTTCCCCTCCCTGTCGATCCAGCTCCAAGGAGACACAGCCTCTGCTCTGCTTCCCCCTCCTTCCTTACAAATTCAACTCACAGGCTCATTTGAACCACAAGATTCAAAATTGACCTATTTTTTGCAGGGGTAATTTGGCATTGGCTCTTGCTGCTGACCGAGCTCACTCTGTGGCTGCAGGATGACCAGGTCTGACACAAGGAACAGTGCAGGAATCTTCAGCCAGGACAGCAGACATGAGCAAGCCAGGACATTCCAGCCCACAAAGGAGCGTCTCTCACTTCGGACCTGATACAGAGGGCTGTACACAGAGGTCTGTATCAGGTGCAGAGATACAGAGAAGCCAAGGGAAAAACATTCTGTGAATAGCTCCAAAGAACAAGGGTGCTGAAATCCCAAAATCAGAAATAGCTATTGGGAAACCAATTATATACCATGAGTGAAGGATATGAAAAACATAAAACCTGTAATTACAGGTCACCTTGTAAATACAGATCACACCGGTAATTACAAGTTACCCTGTAATGCTGTCCAGGAAGCCCAGCACAAAACTACGAGAGACATTCCTACACTTTGCTGACCTCTGTATGACGTGGAAGGCACAACCCCCTGCCATGGCTGAGTACTGCCCATCATACAGACTCCTGAATATGGCTTTTCCCAGTAGTTTAGGAAAGCTGGTGCTGATGACGTTTGATGCCAATGCACCTCTTCTGAATTTAGCTACACGCATAATGCATCTGTATGACAGTATCAATCCATTAGAAATGGAAGACATTAACTTCAAAGGGAAGAAGAAGATTAGGAGTTTGGGAGTTTTATTCTTAGAATTTTGATCTGTGGTTAAAAATAATGCACCTTAACTCTTAAGGTATTTGTTGTGGCTTTCCTCTTGGACAGACTGTAGTCCAGTAAGTCAGCAGAATCAATTTTGAATGAGGAAAAGAAGCACAAGAAAGCAGAAACAAGTTTGAAGGATAAAATAAAAAGAAAAAAAAAGCCAATCTTACCCAGAACACCAATTACCATTCTAGCAGAGACCAAAAGACTCTCTAGATCTCTCTTGAGGAGATGCATTTTTCATATTTTGATGGCAATTTCAGCTCATAAAATGATTTGATATTGTGATCTCGTGAGAAATACAGTGTGCTTCTGAGTATTTGGGAACCTTCTGATAGTGTTATGCTCAAAATATTGTTTCTGGGCAGAAGAGAAACATACCTGACACATAAAAATAACAACTTACCGAACCAAAAAAATCATTATTAGTCCAAGCCTAGTTACTACAGAAAAACAAAGTATAGTTCTATGCAGAAAACAATGCATTTAAAATCATTATACACACACTTCTTAGTTTCTACCTCTATCCCTGGTTATGCTTACTCTGATTCTGATTCTGGCTTCACTCTGGTGCTGGTGGGTGTTACAGCAAATCGTAAGGATCTGGAGTTCTTCACGGTGAGGAAAGTGAGATTGATGATGATGGTTTCTTCTCCCTCTGGAATCTTCCTGGAGTACTTTTGATAATCACTGACATGCTTTTACACCTAATTTTTTTCTTCACTGAACTGAAACTTCAATTTTACATCTAAATTTACTAGATATGGTGAGTACATGCGTAGAATCATAGAATCGTGGAATTATATAATGGCTTGTGTTGCAAGGAACATTAAAGGTGGTCTAATTCCTACATTCCTCCTTGAGTAAGGACACCTCCCGCCACATCAGGTGCCCAAAGCCCCATCCCATGTGGCTTTGAACACTTCCAGGGATGGGGCATACACAGCTTCTCTGGACAGCCTGGGCGAGTGCCTCACCGTCATCACAGTGAAAAACTTCTTCCTTATGTCTTATCCAAATCCACCCTTTTTAGTTTAAAGCCATTGGAAAAATTGGACATGCGAGATAATATCCTTTTCCCTCTTTGCCACCCCTGGGAGCTCCATATCTACATTTCTTTTCACTAGCTGATAAAAATGAAAAAGTTTCTTACTTGAAGAGCAGAGTGGGCATGTCAAAGGACCCCGACAGTTTGGTGGACAATTTGAGCTCAGCTCAGTTCCTTCCTGCCACATTTCAGCCTCCGATGAAAAGCTGCTTGGGGTATAAGAGAAAAACAGTCTTTGAGGAAGACTGAGATCACCTCAGTCTTCACCTCCAGCCAACAACCTACATCTGTCAAAAACTTCAGTGCATGTTTCTTGCTCAGTTACACAGAAAGCAATGGAGAACTTCGTGAAGAAAGTGGAAGAGTACAGCTAGCATGTACTTGTTTTAGTGATTATAAGGGATTCTTTTATAGTCTGTACTAGAATGAACCAGCACCAATTCAGTGAGCTGACTAAACAAGGCTTTGAGGTGTTGGAAACATCTACAAAAAGACCTGTCCTCAATTGCAGGATATTTCACTTCTGCTTGCAGAATTCAA